TACTCTTGATTCAAAAGGGTAACATGTATACCAATGGAAGTGGAGTTCTGGAAGTTAGCAAAGGTGCTAAGGTTATGTTAAAGCGGCGAAGAAAGTCTTTGAAATGTTCGACGGTCACTGTGAAAGATGTTGATCTATGGTTGATTAAAATATTAAAGTTTTGATTATAACAAACAGGTTAATCTTGTTTACTAACAAGTTGAATTTAAGTGATTATAGTTTTTCAAAGCATACTATGAGAAATTGATCGATGGTTGTCAAAAGATCAAAAGCTATCATCAAATTGGACTCGTGCAGGAAGTAAAGATCAAAGTCACACATTCAAGAACTTAAAGAGCCAAACTTAGGAACAAGATCAATGACTTGATTTCTTAGATAAAGTATAAAGGTACTAACACTTTGATATTTGGTAATTAATGCTTAAGTTCAAAATTCTTCTATGCATTAAAAACAATTTTGTGCAATAAAAGTCATTGAAATGTAATGATTTGATAATATATAAAAAAGACTTTTAAAAATAATATTTGGACTTGAAAAACATTTTTTTATCTTGAAAAGTTAGTTAAAAATACTCTTCAAAAGTCCTTACCATTCAAAACCTTCGAATAGGAACAAACGGTGTCAAAACGTAAAAAGACCAAACTATCGAGCGATCGACCGGAAGAGGTGATCGACTTGAAGTTTTCAATGGTCTAAAATTTGACCGTATTAACCTCTGATTTTAACTGTACAAACGGCTATATTGGTCATTCAAACAAGAGGTGGTTGATGGACGAGTCAACCGAACTCCCAGACTTATCGATGTTTTGAACTCTATAGATACCTATACTTTTTGCATTCAATATGACATTTTTTAAGAGCATTAAAGTAAGAATTATTTGAGCAAAACTCTTTGAGCTTACATCTTTTTTATTTCTTCAAATATTTATTTTGAAAAATTTTGATTGATTGAATCAACTTTTGAAAATCATCTTTTTCATCAAAGTTCTCTCATATAACAATTGAGTTTCATTCATTGCTATTCATTTTAAGTGTTGCATATTTCTCTCTTTATACTTAATTTTTGTAAAATATTTATTAAGAGAGAAGATCCAAATTATAAAAATCATTCATCTTTAAATTTGTGGGTCATATTGAGGTCCTGTAAAACTCAATATTGTACAAAGATCGGTGCTCCTTATTTTTAAGTCTCCATAAGCGTTGTAAAGAGTTGAATTGCACCATAAGTCAATTAATATAGTGAAAATGTCATGCTCGTACCGGAGAGTTTGGTAACGAAGAACATAGATCATTTCATTAGATCGAACATCCACTATATTATCTCATTTGCATTATCTCTTCCATTTTACTTATAGCTTTCATATTTACACTTACTATTTGAATTAATCTATTTAGTTTTTATTTGGTTAAATTTAGATTAATTTCTCGAAAAAGTTTTAAAAATCAATTAATCCCCCTCTTGGTTAGTTATTCTTGAGCTATCAAAAGCAACTGCAGCCTATGGTTTCATAAACGGTAACTTCGGTAGATTTGGTTGCGATCAGGTTGCTTATGGTGATTTGAGTAATGATATTGGGGAATCTTCTAATAACTCAGGTAGAGCTAGTCGTAATCTTGTTGATCATGGTTATTCAAGCAGATATGACAACTCAGGTAGAGTTGGAAGTGCTCGAGGTTATTCGAGCAATTTTGGTGACTCAACTGGAGCTAGAAGTGAATGAGATGATTCAAGCAACGATAGCGTGCAAGGTAGTTCTGTTGGTAAATAGGACTTGGATTTAGTTCATAGTAGTTGAGTACGCCCTGCAAGGGCATGGTGGAAGAGATGGATAATAACTTGAAGAGCGAAGAATAATTTCTTGCATTAGATTTTTTGTCAAGGTAGAAATTGTTAGAGTATGACCCAAATTCCTATTAGGGTTAGGATTAGGTTGGTAAATTGATAAAAAGAATAAGAGTCTTCTTAGTTTGGAAGTCCGATTGAAAAAGGGGATCAAAGTTAATCAAAGATTAAAAGATTGATTGGTAAATGGACTTCGGACAATTGAAAACTTGGTTTTGGAGTTTTGACGGAGAAAAGGTCGCCGCAATTTCTCTAGTTGGTCGCTAGTTTTGGCGTTCGAGCATTGGGGGTGAAAAACGAAACAGAGAGTTGGTGCTCACTTAGCACCCGCGTTTCTCTTGAGCGGCGGAGCTGCTGCCCGCCTAGCGCTCGAGCAGTAATGTTATCCGGACGGGAATCCCTTTTCGATTTTGTTTGTCTCATTTCTTAAAGCATTATTCATCCAAAACACTTATAATGAATTCATATATATATATTCCACGTTAGGGCTGGATATGGTCTGATTCGATTCGATTCGGTTTGGTTAGGTTCTGAAGAGAACGAACTGAACCAAAATATTCGGGTATTTAGTAAATGGAACCGTCGAGTCCAAATTTAATTATGGAACCGTTCGAGTTTGGTTCGGTTCGATTCTATTCGGTTTCCGAGTTTCGTACAATAATTAATTTTTTTTATATTTACAACAATGCTACATTAGTTCGACTTTGAAATGTTCAACATTAACTCTTACAAAATAATGTAATCTAATATGGTGATATCTTTTGCGTATCTCTTTGTTGAGTTATTCATAAATTTGACTGTTAAAATCACAAGAAGATGAAGATAGTCAGTTCACAATAGTAGAACGGCAGAAACGAGACTACAGTAGAATAAGAGATTTTGGTAAAATTTGGATCAATTTGATTAAGTTGGGGTTGGCTGAAAATTAGAAATAGTAAAATCATATTTAACGTTTGAGCTAAACTAATTAGTTAACAAATTCATTTAGAAAAAAATAAAATAATTTGACTTATTTAAAATTAAAAAAATTACGGAGATTCGGTTCTTGATCTAGAACCGAGAATCGAACCAAACCCGTCGATTCTTGATTCAACCATTCGGGTATTTAACTTAAAAGAATCTCTCAGTTCAGTTCGGTCCAGTTCAGTTCGGGAGTTTTGTGTAGCCCTACTTATAGGCGGAACTAGGGGGTCCTGGGGGGGCAAGTGCCCCACCTCCCACCCCCAACTTTTCAGATTTTATTTATTTATAAAATCGTGTTTGGTATCGATTGAAATCTAAATTTTAGTCTAAATCAAAGTTAACAATTAATTTTAATAACATATTTTATGGAATCCATAATTATTTAACTTTTATCAAAATTTACTAAAAAATTGATTTTAATCTCTACTAAACATGGGCAAAATCACATTAAATTTGAATTTCGATAACATGCTAATTTTAAAAATTCTCTGACAATCGTACGCTAATCGAATCTACAAATTGCTTATGTAATCTCAAAACTTATTTCTAGAACTACATTATGGGCATATCGAATAGTCCAAACAGATATCGAAAATAGTTAAAAATACGTTAAACGTGAGTCTTAAAAAAAGACGTATAACTCGCATTTTTTAAAAAATTCAATTATTTCATTAATATTTATTATTTTTGCAATACAATTTTCTCAATGTAATTTTAATCATTTTATTATGAAATTTTATATAAAATATGACATCAAAAATTTTCGAATTTTTACATCCGAAAAAGTTATATCCCATGTAAATTTTCGGATGTAAAATTACACGGAGTATGATTTTTTTGGACGTAAAGTTTCGATTGTAAAATTTCTCCCAATTTTTTTGCAAGTTCAATTGTGCCCCCCTAACATTTAAGGTTTGCTTCTTCCCCTGCCCTACTCCACGTGGTGTAAACTCAACAAAACAATTAAATTATTGTTGTATACGTTAGAAACTTGAGATAATTGTTTAAATTTAAATTAAGAGTATCAAATCTTGTAAAACCATTTTAGTTTCTTAGTATATGAAAATCTCATCTTCTTGTGCATAAATCTTGTATTCTTGTGTGATCCATTATTTTTCATATCACTCTTATTTTCTCATTGTTAATTATTTGGCCTAGTTCTCAACAGTATATAAATAAAAGAAAATGTGATGTAATTGCTGGTTTTATCTGTTTTATTCTCTTTTTCCATATATATCCAAATCCAGGGATCGAATGTATGTAGTTCAACGATGTAGCGTTATCAGATATTCCTTGCCGATTGCTATCCAGATCAGTGTTTTGTAGACATGAAAGTTCTGCGGTAAAGAACCTTAGATGTCCTCATATGATTTTTTTTTTTTTTTTACTCGGCTTATAAGCATCAGCTTTTTTGTGGTAACTACTTGTCAGTCTCTGTACATATTTTAAGTAGAATAATCCCTCCTATAGCAAGGAAAGCCTTGAGCTTTTCCTGCATATTGCTTCGAGTTAAGAACACGAAAAATATCGCATTGGACAATCAAGTAATTTGAATACGTTTTATCATGATAATACTTCCATGGATGTCATAAATGGATCAGATATTAACGCGTTGAAGGGAAATTTCAAATTGGATAGACTGCAAGAAGTATTCCGTCGAGATTGCACTTTCACCTCTGGCCTTTAAGCTCCATAAACCCCATCATCTTCCGCTTGAAATTTCTTCGGAGATTTCTCGTACTCTGGGGTCAAGCTTTCTTGGCTCAACTCTAGAAGAGGACTTCGGTATCATGTTCATACCATTGAAATGAATGATCTCAGTCAGTTGCTTTTCCTTCATATAGTGTATACAGCTCCGTCATTGGTTGGGCGAGTTTGATGGTTTTTTATCCTTATAGAAAAGGATCTGTATAAGAAATTGGAAGAATAGGTTAATTGCAGATCATAATCTTTACAAGTGTACCCTTTGTTTCTCTGATAGAAGAAGAAAAGTACTAGTTGCATTCTTGGCTTTACAGTGAAATAACAGAAAAAAAAAGTTACTAGAAATCACTATATACATACAAATCATTTATCTTAGCACGGTTTTCGAAAGTAAAAATTAGCTGTGGTTTTAGTCTTCCATGTATACTGAAGAGTCAGACAGCAATGAAAATACTGAGAGGTTGAACTCCTGGACAGAGATTTTTTTTTCCTATGTAGTGAATATGGATGCTAAAACTTTTGATCTTTTCCCCTTTATTGGTGTTTTTGTGTCTGGGAAATAGCCATCACCCCCTACTAAATCCTCAACAGAGCCTTTTTCTGTTACATTCACAGGATAAGTGACTAAATGAACACCATTCATATCCACTATTTCATCTTCACTATAAACTCTCCACATCTGATCTCCAATTGAACGGATCATTTGCACGCATTCCATGCTCTGAGGGTCTTGGAATATGTCGTCTGCTCGTCCAGTATGTTCATACCACAGTGACATACGAAATGCACGAATATCTCCATTATCTATGCAGTTTTCTCCATTTCTCGACTGGTAACATCCGATTGCAATTTCAGTGTCCCTTTGTCCATCCATTGATCTCTGGTTCACATTAGCCGAGCCTATTAGCAGATAGGTGTCATCCACTAGAAAATCGTGCAAGAAAATACATGCTGGTTAGTACACAGAACTCATCAGAGCTTCAATACAACAGGTATATAAAGAATGAAACTATTCATACTTAATCTGCAGACTTTCTCCGATAAATTAAGTACTAAACAATATTAAGAAGAAAAAACAAACTAAAATCTTGTTCATTGTACCGTTTTCGACTAGTAGACATACCAAACATGCTTGAAAGGCACAAATGAAAATGCATGTTGTACAACAATTGGCACTACAATTTGGAGAATGATTTCATACCTATCATAACCTTGGAATGGACATACACCATGAACCTCCTATGTTTTTGAGCATTCCAATATTGTGTCGCAGGATGAGGAGAGTATGGAGGAATAAACTCTCCTTTAACCTCTTGTTCCCTATTAGCAAGGCAGAAGAAATTCAAGTAATCCCTTGGGTGCCCCAGTTCACCACTTTCTTGTATTGCTTCTCCTATCAATCTATACATCATTTTCATTGTTTCTTGACTCCAATGTAATATGTCCTGCACGGATTCACTCTCAGATGGACCTTCTGGCCACATTGGTATTATCACATACACTGTGAAACGCTCCTTGGCCCTGATTTTACTTGCTACCTTTAGCACAATCTCAATAGGAATTAAGTTCCGGCATCCACAATGCTTATTTTCCTCCCAAAAATGGCATCCCCCGATGAAATACTGATTCTCTATGTATATAAATCTCTCAGCGCGCCTGATTGCATCCACGTAAGCTTCATGGATGCTTCTCTCAATTTTGAGGTTTTTAGGTAAAGAGCTAGCTGAAACGTGATCAATTGAGCGAAACACTTGGACATTCCAGTCCCTCCCAGGGGAAATGGTTGTAGGATCAGGCTGATTGGAGAAATCCGGAATGGATCTTATCGGAACAAGAAAAGTTGGATCAGATTGCTTTGTCCATCTTTGCTCGAAATTTGCAAGCACATCCCAAGCAGCTTGGCCGGTGACACAGGCATGTGTATCGTGCCATGGCTCTCTTGGCCCTCCTTTATGAAGGCTAGCTCCCGGAAGGCTAGTCTGATAAAAATCATAACAATGGGATTCCATATTAAGTGTTTGAAACAACGAATGTTGTTCTGTATCATATCGTCCATCACAGAGATCTAACCCACCAAGAAAGCTCGTGATTTCTCTATTAGACAACTCTCCACGTGTGTCCACAGTTATCGTTTTCTGATGATGCGCGAATACCGTGGGGAATTTATTGTGTAGCCTAGGACAAAGTTTGCATACTACTTTAGTGTGCTTGAAATAGGCTAAAGCATCTTCATCGTTAGTTCTCATTACTCCTTTATTTTTTATGACCGGTAAGGATGTTTCGTCATCCCAAAGCATAATTCTAACAGCCACACCTTCCTCAGCTTTCTGCTTCAACAATTCACCAAGTTTTACACCTCGTGCACGGGGAATATTTGTTTGTGGATCACGTACCTAAAAAAAACCCGTGTCAGGCTTAGGATCGAGGGAAAATCATGGTGACAGTTTTCATTTTACACTTACCAGAGCCATTTTAGGATTAAATGACCATCCTGCAATATAAACCAAATGCTTTGCACCCTCAATGGCTTTATATATATCTTCCCACAAATTTCTAGGCGCGTCATGAAGATCAAATGGAGGTTGGAATGTAGGTCGATGATGAGCATCTTGATATAGTGAGACACTGCAATTTGATCTTTTAGGAAATGCTGCATTTTTCAGCCCCTCATATCCACCATTTTCCAATACTTTGCCCCAACTTGCTTCATAGTCTGCTTGTTTAAACCATAAGATGAATTGCAACTTGAGCTTCTTGTTTGGCTTTCCATTTTGCTTGCAGAGTGGGAAGAATCCATTGATTAGACTTGCCTCATTTAGAAGCTTTTCTGCCTGAATATCGATTTTTCCTAAGATGGTTCGATTTGTTTTTAAGGTAATTGTAATGGTTGAATCAGATGGATGAGCACAGAGGATTTGAAAAGTTTGGTTCCAAACTCTGTCCCTTTCGCGGCTAGTTTTTGCCACCTTTCTGTTATCTATCTTGATAGTCACATAGGCAGACTTTCCAGTAAAAGGTACGCACTGTAAGAACAGAGTCAAAATTGATAATTAGAAGAAAATTCATTGTTTAGATTTGAGCTGCCTTTATAAAACATCTTATATCTTCTAATTAAATCGTCCACACTAAGACCTCATCCGTTCCCTCGAAAGGGCGATGAGACTATACATATGGTGCTATCTGCAAGATGAAAAGAAAAGAGAAATCTGAATGGCACGTACCCTTAAGGCGACTGAGGGTTTGTACATTGTGGCGTGGAAGATGGAGGCTTCGAGTGTTCCATGGAGGAACTTGTGCTTTTTTTCCTCCATTGAAGATTAATAGATTGATCTTGAAACACCCTTTGGTCTACTTTAGATGAAAAGGAGAGAGATGACAATCAAACTATGACATATATGAATGCTGTTAAGACTGATATTGTACTTCAAGAAATGTGTGGAAACTTAAAATGCAATTGAACTTGAAGAAACGTATGGAGCTATGCAATTTTAGTCTTGGACGGAAAACCAATATTTTGCTGTACTTGTTTTTTCCTTTAAGCTGAAGTTTTCTTTTTAATTACTAGTTTGTCATCATTTATTTATCCATACAAGGTAGGATTTTGTTACTTATACACTGGGGATGCGGTGTACCAGTGGCGGAGC